GGATAATCCCGAGTCTGCTAGTGACTTTAGGCCGATCACGCTCCTCAACATCAGCTTCAAAATAATTTCCAAAGTGATTGTGAACCACATGAGGCCTATAATGAAAAGTGACAGCTCATTGGCCCGTTTCAGAACAGCTTATTGCCGGGGAGAACCACGATGGACAATATCATCCTCACTCAAGAAATTGTTCATACCATGCATCACAAAAAGGGAAGGAAAAGGCTTATGGAAATCAGATTAGACCTCTACAAGGCTTATGATAATATTGATTGGGACTTCCTAGAAGCTACGCTAGATGACTTTGGGTTCCCATAGTATCTCATCAGGGTTATCATGTTCTCAATCAGAGAGAGCTCAATCTCTTTACTTTGGAATGGTGAAAAATTGGCCCCCTTTGCTCTGGGTAGGGGCCTGCGGCTGGGAGACCTGCTTGCCCCGTACCTTTTTATTCTAGTGATGGAAAAGTTATCTTGGTTCATTCAAGAAAAAGTTGACAAGAAGCACTGGAAGCCGATTGTGGTCTCTCATGGTGGAACAAGTGTCTCTCATCTTTTCTTTGTAGATGATCTGATTCTCTTTGCCAAAGCTTCAGAAGCGTAGAGACAGTTTATCATGGACTGTCTTGAGGATTTCTCAAAGAGATCAGGTTTCACCACTAATTTCTCTAAATCTAGTATCTTTTGTAGCCCAAACACTTGTACAGGTATTAAAAGAAACTTAAAGAGAGCGACGAATATCATGGTGTCGGACACTTTGGGCAAGTATCTGGGCATCCCAATCCTTCAAAAAAGGGGTCTCAAAAAGGACTTTTGGTTACATCCTAGAAAGAATGAAAAGGAAGTTGGCTAAGTGGAAGGCAGAAACCCTAAGTCTCGCTGGGAGAAATGTGCTCGTCTAATAAGCCCTCTGTACCATGCCGGTCTATTCCATGCAGGTGTTCAAACTCCTGGTGGGAAACTGCAATGAAGTGGATAAGATCTGCAGAGACTTCCTTTTGGGGGGACATTGATGACAAAAGAAAGGCTAATTTGGTAGGCGGGAAAGATGTTTGCAAACCAAAGAACGCCGGGCCGGGGGCTGGGGCTTTAGGCGGTGCACAGATTTCAACAAGGCCCTCTTGGCTAAACTGCTTGGCAAATGAACACTTGTCACGAAAAACTCTGGGTCCGCGTGATGCACGATAAATATGTAAAAAACGGGATCTTCTTTAGAGCATCAATATCAGTTGGGGATATTAAGGGGTTTTTGTAAGAGTAATAAGGAAAGAGAATGTGGAAGGGGAGAGAAAAAAAGAAAAAAAAAACTGATTTTTAAAAAAAAAAAAAGTAAATAGTGAAGTCAGGCGCGCCCGGCTTTGGCTAAGTTGTGCGCGAAATGCGAACAACGTTTCCTTTTTTTTCTTTTCTTTTTTTTTTTAAAAAAAAAATTCTGACATTATCTTGTATCTTGCAGGAGAAATAATTCTTGAAATAACCACACCTCACATCTATAAATAACCCCACCCAAGTTATTTCATCTGACATTAACCCCATATTATTCTCTACTATGGATGCTTTTATGCCCCCCCAACCCGAAGAACTCGTCTTGGAGCTAGAGGAGTATCCTAAGAGGACGGTCGACCATTGAACTAGGTGCCGCATGGCGAGTGGGAAATGGTGACACGCTGAACCTCTGGTCCGAATGGTGGGTGGGAGATAAACCACTAGGGCTCCTTGAGAACATTTCCATCCCCGAAGAGATCGCAAATGCCAAGGTAAGTGATTTATTTTGCCTAAATCGTACTTGGGACTTTGACAGGTTGAACAATATTCTGCCAAGTGAGGTGACCAACGTGATTAGATCCATTCGCATTCCCTGTAATGACTAAGCTGGTGATGTCCTATACTGGCCGGGATCCCCAACAGGTACTTTTTCGGTCCGAGAGCCTTCACATATATTGCATGTATAGTAGACGATCTGGAAGACTTTGATTGTGCTTGGAAAGCTCGTGTGTCGGAACAGTGTCGCTTATTCCTCTAGCTAGCAACGAATGTCAGACTCTTCACCATCTCTGTAAGATACCATTGGGGGCTGGCGGAGGAGGGTGGCTGCACCGCATGTGGCGAGGAAGACGAACCTATTGGGCATATCCTGATGAGCTGTGACCTTGCTAAAGCCACTTGGAGAAGGACATACCACCCAAGCTGCTTCCAGTACGGGATCCCGCAGGAAGTGAAGACATGGATGACGAATAACTGCAAGTCGAAGGAGGTCGTGTAAGGGCGACAATGGCAACAACTTTTGCGTACACTTGTTGGGAGCTCTGGAAAACACGGAACAAGCGAGTCTTCGAATAGAAACCCATCACCCTGGAGTGCATTATGCGATAGGTGGCTAATCTGACTGAAGTCACGCTAGCCGCTGCAACGAATCACAAGCTAAGCGACATTGGGAGAAACTCCTGGATTTCTTAGCACGATCCAGCAAACTGGTGGATAAAAATTAACACTGACCGAGCTTTCAGAAAAGGAACAGGTCTCGCCAGTGTAGGTGGACTAGCTCGGAACCACCGGGGCGACTGGCTCTTTGGGTTTACAGTTAAAATTGGGTTTACTAATAGCTTTGCCGCAGAGTTGTGGGGCCTAAGGGAGGGTTTACGGCTTGCAAATGCTAGGGGGGTTACAAGAGCGACATTCGAGCTAGACTCGGAGTCGGTGGTGGCCGTGATGCGTAACGATGATGAGGACATGGTCAATGCTTCGACGCTGATTAAGGATTGTAAATTCCTCATGCGCTTCTTTGATGAGATCGAGTTCCAACGCACATTAAGAGAAGGGAATAAGTGCGCGGATCATCTCGCCAACATTGGGCAAACTACTGAGAGGGGGACGTCTATAGTAGATTTGCCTCCAAACACCATTATCCCTCTCGTTGAAGCGGATGCGTTTGGTGCTAGTACGGTTAGAGTGTGGTAGTTTCTATTTCCCGTGTTTAACGGGCCAATCTCACCAAAAGTAAATCTTACACTTAGTTCTATCTCTCTCTCTCTCTTCCCCCCCTTTGAGTTTTCTTAAATGGGCAGGTAGACCCATCATTTGTTTGTTTATTATTTACACTAGATTGGACTAGTTTGGTTAACATGAGTTTGATTGATTTGGACTGAAAAATAAAAAATTTGATCTAGCATGACCCATAGTCCAAAAGAAAATACTATATGTATTCCCATTCTCTACTTTCAACTTTTACTGACAAATTTTACTGTGAACCATGGTTCATGTTACCATGTAGTAATGTGGTCTATAAAGTAAGTATTATTTTAATTACACTTTAGTTTCATTTGACAATATTGCTTTGTTTTTCAATTTCATTTTCCACACTCAGTAGTTTCATTATAGCAATACCAAAGTATCATTTTAATTTTACTACAGTTTCATTTGACAATATACATTATTGTATGAGCTCTATTTTGTAGTTTCATTTTTCACACACTAGTTTAATTATAATAATGCTAAAGTATTGTTTTAATTACATTCATTTTTCATTTGACAATATATGTTATTGTATGGTTCTGGACTTTAGTTTCATTTTCTATACATACTAGTTTAATTTTAACAACATTAAAGTATCATTTAATTATACTACAGTTTCTTTCGACAATATACGTTGTTGAATGAGCTCTGATTTTTAATTTCATTTTCTGCACACACTAGTTTCATTTTATCAACACTAAAGTATCATTTTAATTTTACTGTAGTTTAATTTAACAACCATGGTCCACATAGCACTATGGACCATGGTCCATTGTATAACAACCGACTTTTACTCCCACACTTAAAATTTTGATTAGACACTTTTATAGACGCTCGCATGAAGAAAATAACCTATCATCGGCCGCCACATCAGAGAGTAAATTTGAGGGGGTAAGATTTGAGAGTACAAGTAGTAGAACTCTATTCCAAAACATTAAACAGTAACAAATCGCCGCAGCTTCACTGCTGCGATTGATATTGAGGGTTTTTTTTTCTCATAATTTACAGATTTTTATTCTTAAACTAACCCAAATCGAACCGAACCGATTTGGTTTCCACTTCTATACTATTGCCGAAATCTATAGGCTTTTCAAAGTTGGATCTTCTTTAGATCGAAAAGAAATTTTGGGTTAATAGCGAATTGGGTTCTGATAAGTCATATCGCTAGTAATTGCCCCCTGTGCTGCGGCTTGCTGTAATCGTGCTCGGTGGGCGGCGGAATATCAAGAAAGCCGTTGGAGCTGGGTTTTCATAGTGGCACAAGTGGGGTTCAAAGTGCATCTCATGTAGGGGAAACATGGTGTCGTGTTGTAAGAAAATAATTTTGGATTTTGACCTCGTCGTGAGATCTTTGTAGATCTTCAATCTTCAGTGATGGATTTTGACTTCGCCGACATATTCTTCAATCTTCAGTGATAGATTAAACCATGAGATCTTTGTCAATGTTTGTGAGATCAGGCAAAACACTCAGGGATGGAATAAAGCAAGTTGAGAAAGAAAAAAACATCTACCTATATTTATACGAACATAAACACACATATGTATATACTTAGAGATTTAGAGAGAGAAACTGAGATTGTTCCAAAGAGAGAGAGAGAGAAAGATGGGTAATAGGAACCAGCTCACACGGAATCCATTAAGAGTTCATAGTAGGCTCATCACAAAGTCCATAACTACATCTTCAAAGCACCATTGGTGGAAGAATCAAGGAAGTCCAATAATAATTTCATTCGATAGAGGAAAGTATTATAGTGGCCCATTTCAAGTGATGTCATGGATCGATGACAATGTTCAGAAGATTCGAGGTCAAATCATTTTGCAAGAAGGGGAATGTAACAACCTACTTTTCTTAAACTCAATTACAATTCTAAAACCAACATTAACATAAACTAAGCAGCGGATATACAATTTTAAATAAGCTAGTGGGAATGTCACCGCCACAACCACCTCTCCGCGGTGATTGCACAGGCTAAGGATGGAACTAACTCATTAAATCCAAATAACATAGCAAATACTTAATTAAAGTCATAAGGGGGAAAAACACCCCGAAGTCTATCATCCAACATAAAAAACATAAGTCTACAATCCATCAAAATAAACATCATAATAATAATACTACGAGTTTAAACTACTAGATCTACTAAGCTAGTCTAACTCGATCATCTCTCAAACGCTGGGCCCACCTGAAAGGGGTTTTGCAAAACAACACATAGACAAGCAGGAAAACACCCGTTAGCACGAAGCTAAGTATAACCACACTCAACCCTGTAAGGTACTACAGTATATACTTTGGAAAAACATTTGTTCACAAACTCTAATGAAGCAATCTCGACACTTAGACAACTTTAAGATACATCACAGACTTTCTATATGCTTGCAACCTATAATATCATCAGACATGCTTCAAATATAAATGACTCATCAACATGAATATTCCAACACATATTTCTCATAACAAAACTCATCATAACGAGCTCATGCAATCAATCAATTTCATACTAACAACCAATACGAAATTATCTTCATGCTTTCAAGATCACATCTTGCAAACTAGATATATAGGATATCAAAATGCAACTAAAGCAATCATGCTCAATATACAATCTAGGTTAATCATTCTCATTATGCAATCTAGTGCAAACATTCTCGTTATGCAATCTCGTGCAATACTATACTCGAATGCAATCCCGTGCAAACATTCTCATTATGCAATCTCGTGCAATACTATAAGTATACTTATACACTCATTTGTAAAATAGAATACTTTTCTGTGGAGATTTCTTAGAGCCACAAGGACTCGCTTGCTTTCTTTATTTTCTTAGAGTCGCAATGACTCGCTTTATTTCTTTCTTATCTTAGAGTCGCAATGACTCGCTTTCTTTACAAATGGATGAGGTAGGAACTTCACCGTATCGTGAACGAACCTATCCGGGCACGGCGTCTAGCTGGCCTAATACTCATCTCGTCCACCGAACCACTCTCTTGGTTCTATGCTCAAACTCTGTGGAATCAGGTATCGAACTATCAACGTGCACACCCCCTGACCAGGATTCTAAGCCTAGCGGGCAGTTTCCAACCTCGTAACGTGGGAATACACCACGTTACATATACTGGGACCGCAATGTCCATTACTTTCATCCGAGAGGACATAGTAAACGGGTCCTCCAAAACAAAGTTTTCCTCACCATAGATATATATATATAGATATATCGCTCAAGCATCTCATATATACAACACTTAACTTATGCAAAAGACATGCACATACTTCTCAACTCATTCTCAAAGACAAGATAAAGATGCTCTACGTGGAATGAGATTTTTGGAAAATAATACTTAGGCTCACGTTGGCCACTTATGCAATTTTAAAACATGATTTACTTGGAATGCAATTTACTGTACAACATGCTTCAAATTAAATATCACAATGATCTCTCAAGAACACAACAACATGCTTGGTTTTCAACATATCAAACTCTGTATAATTCTACCATCAAAATAGATCTCAAATTCCATTGAACATACAACACATTCTAGTCATGCTTTTCTAACAATTCTTATTCAAAAGGTGTTCATGCTTCTCTATTTAATACTCAAATAGCATCAGGGGAATAAAACAAAGCAATTCCTAATACAGTGAACTCAAACAAATCATATTGTGAAGCAATTTCATCTCTAAATCCATCATAACATGCTCATTTCTAATCCAAATCCAACGAAATCAAAGGCAAAAATTGCGTCAAGACGACCCCAAGGTACCAAGCCACAAGGGCCCATGACACCTGGTCCGAAACGACACGTAGCTGAGCCACAAGGGCCCGACCACTGCACAGGAAACAACTCACGAACCTTGGGGCAGGGCTCAACTAGGCCCGCCCCTCGAACCTCATCTGCAATACAAACTCAGGCAATTCTAGCACATCCAAAACATCAACAATACATCATAGACAAGTAATAAATCACTTCATAGTTCAAACACTTCAAAAATCTAGCATTTCTACTCATTTCTACCTATGAAACAATGGCTTCACAGAGCCAAAACTTAAGATGGGAGTCCATGGGGTTATACCTTTAACCGAGCTCCAAAAGCCAAACACTTGATCTTGAGCTCACTCTCGAGCTAGCCACTTAAACAATGAACCTGTAGATCAACCGATCTTCTTTCGTTACTCATACTATTATTATTAACAATAATGGTATCGAACTTTATCTCATTATCATAAATCCAAGACTTTCCATAATCCTTTCTTTACCTTACTCAAAACCTTACTTCTTTACTACTCAGCCCATTTCATAACCACCATACACATTTAATCCAATATTTCAACATAAATCCCCCTTATAGTATTAGTGTCAATCCACCATCATAATGATGTGCTAAAACTAAACAAATGTTAGTAGTTAAATTTGAACCCAAGGTTATTTTCATACCACTGCAACACTTTAACCATTACACCACACTACTTATTACTCACAACATCATCATTAATAATGACGTAACCATAATGGTTAACACTTAAGCATCATTAATCCATAAGAAAAATATACTGGCAGCAAGAATCAAACTAGGGCACACCACTCACTAAACCAACACTCTAACCACCACACCAATTTTGTCATTATTAACCTCATACTCACAATATTAACTTATTAAATCAATACATCCCTTAATATCCTATTATTATCAATAAACTCAAAGAAGCCGTATACCATGAAGATGACATTGAGCTGCTGCCAACGCCAACCCCACCATCGGAACTGCTCACCGCCGGGAAGAGGAAAGTGTTAGATATAAATAATCTAACTATAATAAACCATAGTATACGAGAAACCTGACCTCGTATGATAGCGGAAGCGTAGCCATGTAGATCTCCAGCCATAGTTGATGTTCCTGTAGTATTGCCTCTTAACGGTAGACCGTTAGCCATGTTTTGCCTCAGACCTGACTCAGAACCCTAGATGGTGTATTGGTATCTACTGAGCGGTCTGAGTACCGTAACTGAATGTGCTAACTAATCCATAATCCTGTATCCCATCAATCCAGGTTATATTAGGCACAGAGTTTGGTTGACTAACAACTACTAGTTATTAAGTCCAACCAGACCACTTAATAAGCCTAGTCAACTTGCACCACTTAATTAAGGCCCTAATACATAATATACAATATATATTATAAGGGAAAATCTTACATTCTCCCACTTGGCGCAAGTACTAGCACAACCTTCATCAAAGAACAAAACACACGAATCATAGTGATACGTCCTCTATTTAATCAGAGTAGTATCCATTATGGTCACATGCATTTTAATCTCCAACTTAGGTTCTTTATGAACAAACCCTATGTTTATTCTCGGTACCTTAAGGGATGTTTCTCAAAATACATTATGTGCACAACTGAAGGAGAAAACACATCCAAATTGTACAAAAGAGTACACTGTATGATCTCTAAAACTTTATGAGCATGCCTTAAGTAGAGATCTCTTAATGTTAGCATAATGCTAACTATATTCCATGACTTCTTTATAAGTTAACTTTAAGTAGTATCTTTAACAGCTAAGAGCTTGGAGTTGACACGTGTGTCACTCCCACTCATCAAAAATAGCCAAAAGATAGTCAAGTCACAGAAGCATTCCAATAACTTAGACAAAAAACCAAAGGTCTAAGTCCATAAATTTGGAATCTTAATCATACACCATAACTTCCCAAATGACTTCAATGTCCACTTTAAATGAACTGAACATAATGAGTCTTACTTATATGTCTCACAAAATTGTTTTGAGCCTTACAAACCAAAATGGCCCAGGATCAATTTTGAAGAAACTAAAGACTCTATTAATCACCGAAGAATTTATTAAATTACAGTGCACCACAAGTTAAATGCTTTTGTTCTAATAAATTCCTTAATATTGTTACAACATTTTCATAAATATGTTGCATAACCAAATGTTCAATAATTTGAACTTACGAATTTATATGAACAAATACAAAATAAAACTTGTGGAATCTTATGGACTGATTGTTTAACATACAATTCAATTTGAAATGTATGAATACAATAATTAAATCCAAAAACTTTAGTGGAGTATCTTAATGATCTTTTGCTAAATGATCGCTCCCACTGATTAAAATATTCTTCAGCGAAATTAATAAAGTGAACTTAATAATAATATACATACTCATAATTGATTTATTGACCAACTAACAAATGAAGACATAATTCCCCACCATTAGTTGGACATACTAAATAATCAATTTTTGGTTCCAATTAAAGTCCAACTAACTAATGAAGATATATTTCCCCACCATAGTTGGACATACTAAAAAAAAACAAAATACATCTTTCAAAACCAAGTTAGAATTTGGCTCAAAAGATACATTTTATTATTAATGGAATCCAAAAGATGTATGTCAAATCATGTAACTTACTACAGTTAGTCCGAAGAATCGAGTAAGATTCGTGGATTAATTAATAAAAGTTGCTAAATTTTGGGAAGTGACTGAATACATGTTTTGCCAATGCAAACCATGAAACTTAGAATTATAATTGAACTGAATTTATAACTCTAAGAAATTGTGATAAAATTATCATCTAATGGGTGGTGGGATTTATTGACATAAAACTTGCCTTTGGGCTAAAGTTTTAATTCTATTAAATCCAATTAAGAAACCATTATGATAATATTTTATCTCAATTACTAAAGAGCCAGAAGAATCTAGTGACATAAAACTTGCCTGTGGGCTAAAGTTTTACTCAATTAGATCCAACTGAAAAATTTATTTATGATGAAACCATTATCAAATTAGTTAAAGAATCAAATGACCTAAAACTTGCATGTGGGCTAAAGTTTCAGTCAATTAGATTCATTGCTATCATTATGATAAAAAAACTTAAGAGATCATGTTCCTTTTCTTAATCCCTGTGGGCAAATTAAGAAATATGACCTAAATTTACATCATAAAATTAAACTTCATGATAGAATTGGAAATTATTTACAAATAATCATAAAGTAAATAAATTGATTTATTTCTATCGTTACTGATAAAACTACTAAACTACATTCCGATACATAATTGCCTGTGGGCGAAATTATGACCGTAGTCCAGTATTTCATCCTGATTAATTATACAAATATAACGAAATTGCCTGTGGGCTAAATTTCATCATATTACATACAATTAATCACAAATGATATGTCCAAAACTTTATGTGATCAAAATAAACCGCTTAATATATAATTTTAACAGATTAAGGATGCTGTGGCTACTCCAAAACCAAATTAAAATTATAAGATCACTAGACAATTATCAATTCCTTGCCTAAACTTTATGTGATTGAAACTTAACAATCTTATGTAGCTGAATATGCTGTAGCATTTCCTTAATTAACCAAGATCGAAAACTCAAGATATTTCAGTAAATTAAATATGCTTTGGCTATTCTTTAATGAACCGAAATAAAATCACATTGGCAAGAAATACTTAAAAAATTTTGACAAACAGATTATACCAGATTGTGATGGGAAAATCTAAATATACTCCAAGGAAAGGCGGTTAGAGACTAAGTCTCACTGAAAACCAATTCCTTAAATAGAGTATCAATTTAAGGAGACTAGTGGCTCAAGATGTTCTTAAGTCATGACCATTAAAACTAGTATTCTCCCCGATTCATATATACTTAATGTATAACTGTTTGGGGTATAAACCAGTAAACTGTATGGTATACACCAGAAAACTGTAGGGTTCACCTATGAGTAAAGCTTAAATGGTGAACTAAATTAGCGGACTAAACGTGCTTAAATTCAGGCACTACCGCAACTAAAGTTTATGCATAAGTCCAACTTAAATAGGAACTAATATAATTCCATCTCAAAGTATGCATTGCTAAAGGCATAATAAAATTGCATAATTTAAAACAGAATATTATGCTTAGGACAAATATGCATAAAATTAAACATTAAACTCATATTTTCCAAATAAATTGCATAACTTAAAGCAATTTACAATATGAGATTTTAAAGTATAAACTTAATATTCAAACACCGATGAGTCCAAACCTAAAGAGACCCAACATTTTGAATAATAATGTACTGAATATATACTTTAAAAAAATTTTTAAACTGTAAGCCCATGGAAAAATGTTTTAATGCATAAAGATCAAATTTATGAGAAATAACTAAATTTACAAATTCAAACAATATCAAACCAAAAGGATATGCTAGCATTTGTAAATTAAAATCTCATAAACCCTAATTGCATAATTAAACTTAATATTATGCACTTAATATGATCGAATGCATAACACAATCTAGAGAGTATGAACTAACTAAATGATATGAATTTAAACCAAATATTCATTTATTCATACTTGATCAAATATGGGCAATCATAACTCAAAGAACTAAATGAATTATGGAATTAATGGCAATAGTCAATTGCCTAGAAAATATGTTTTTCCAAGATTGCTAAATTGATTCAAAATCACTCTCCATAACTCAGATAATAATATTATTATTATGAATGGCAAAATTGCAAACAATCAGAATAGCAAAAAATTGTCATAATAATATTACCACATTAGGTAGGAGACTAAATATGGAAAAACAACGGTTAAAACCGCTAACATTTATAAACATTTTCGGATAAAATTTTGAAAACTTAATAAAATTTAAAGTCCGAAAAATATTAATGTCCAGAAAGTTATTTTCTGAACTGGAGTATTGTCACATAAATTTATTTGGAAACAGTTCAAGGTGCATAACTGAATACCATAACAATATTAATGTCATCATTAATTAACTAATTATTAATAGCAATAAGTAACATTATAATCACTATTAACATTAGTAATGACAAACTAAAGTATGGTAATGCACTTTTAATGTTTTCATTTTTCTAAAGATAAAATATGTGACTAGTCCAAATTAGCGGTTAACTGTAACTGTAGCACTAATTATCAATAACAATCATAAAAGATAATTAATGACTAACCTTAATGATGCAAACCGTATCTGCCCATTGCGCTAACAACGATGACGATCCACAAGAGAAGAAAAGACTCCAGAATTCTCCCAATCTTCACTATCGGTGTCAATAAACTCGATGCAGCGTCCAATGGTACGTTTAAAAATTTATTGGTAGGACTTAATTACCAACATTAATAGTCATGTAAAATGAAGTGGTAATCATGCCAATGTACCAAATATAGCACATTACCATTAAATGCTAATTATTATGAAAAGTAATAAAATGAGATTAGCCCCTAAACTTAATAACAGTAATTAATAATGCTAATTAATAATAATTACAATAAAGGCAAAACTGTAATTAAGGGATGCCAAATACTAATCTCAATTTACCACATAATAATTAACCATGACTATTATGATACTTAGGGAGACTGAAGTTAAGGTAATAACCAAATTTACCATTATACTAACAATATAAACTATATTGCTTTTGTCATAAAATTAAAGACTTAATATTATTATTAAGGCCCTGAAAACTACTGATAGATTAAAAATTAATCAACTTAAATAATAGTTTGTAATTCTTAATGGCCAAAATAACAATTAAATCCTTAATCCTTAATGTCTCAAAATAGATCAAGACAATAATTATAGCACTTAATTACTCAAATTAGGCTCATAAACCTCAATGGCCTAAGTGAATTATAACATGGATGAAAAATGGTCTAATACTGAAGTAGACCCAAACTTAATATTATTACCAACGATTAATACCAAAATATGGTAGTTAGTAATAATTAAAAGTGAATAAACATGTTATAATAAAAAAAAAAAAGCTATAATTATTATTTAAAATATCAATCAAAATGGTGGGATCCATACTTTAATGACCCAAGATAGGTCCCAAATA